AACTTTCTTTTGTTTTTTAATAATTTGTTACAAACGCAAAATTAAAATAGTTTTAATTTATTTTAAATAAATATTTAGTTTTGAAAATTATTGTTTATAATTTTTCTTATACAATGTTTGTATTATTTAATTTGTGTTGATATTATTAAAATGTGAGGTATGAAGAACTTAAATTAATGTCAATTAAAGTTCATAATTTCTTCTTCTTCAAATAATATAGCTTACATAATTAATCTACTGTTTATATTCTACATGTAGGTGTGCTCCTCAAAATAAAAATAAAATAAAATGTAAAATAAAAATTTAATTTATTATAGTTACAACCATTTACCTGTGGAGTAAACGCAAATATTCGATCTTGTAACGTATATAATTTGCTAGTACTAAGAATTCCAACATCACGTGATTTTCTTCCAGTTAATCCAAGTTTTTCATTTCTGCCTGTTATTTATAGGTAAAAATTTAAAAAARTTACTTTTCTAAGAAATAAAAATAAAAAAGCAATGATTTAAATTGTATACTAGATTAACAATATTTCATAAATTTATCCAAGGTAAATACAAAATATTATAATTTATGTTTTCCAAATTTTCAATCACAATAATATCATGATATTATTAACAAATCAATCGTTAATATTATGGAAAATAAAATATAGAGCAGTAACTTACCTAAGTATGTATAAAGATGACTAAGAACAGTTGAAGGTTGCACTTCAATTGGTGAAACTTCACTAATGGTTTGAACAACAATATCATGTTGAAGAAGTAGATCACGAATCGCATTATCTTCGGCTAAAACAACTACTTGTACAACAACATCTGGTTTTTTTTCTAAACAGAGTCGTCTATTTAATGGATCTAGTTCTCCAACAGCTARAAAGTTCTATGAAAGTTTATTGTATTTTCTATAAATGATTATGGTTATATATATATATATATGTTATAAAAAAAATAAAAAATAAATAGCTCACTTCTTGCAAAAGTTTTCCAAGCATATAGAGTGACTGTGCCCATAAGAATGGACATCTTCCTAATGCTATTCGTTTTTGAGTCCCTGGGTTTTCAATTTCAGCTTTTATATTTTCACTCTCTAGAGCATATAATTCAGGAACAAGTTTAATATCATCTTCAGAATCTTTCATAACCTGTTCAATTCATATTATATAATTCATAAAAAATWTTAATTTAATAAAAATGTATACGATTTTAACTATTTTCATWATTTTTATTTTTACCTTTTCTAATGCATCAACATARAAATTTGCAGTTTCTGTATCTTTTTGAAAACAATAATCTAATATCAGGTAACAAAAAAATAATGGCCATTCACATTCAATTTTTTCAAACACTCTCAGTTCATGGAGATCATAATGAAGTCTATTAGGATCCTATAATATGTATAAGTCATTCAAAGGTAAAACAATTATCAAGAAAAATTAATTTACTTCACGTGGAGTCTTATGGCCATCCCTTAAAAATCGCTTGCAACCATATTTTCCCATCAAATTTGATACAATAGCATTTCTTGTTAACTGAATCAATTGCGGATCATCAACTGAAAAAGCTGGAAAACTGATGACTGACAAAAGACTACTGTCTAATTCTTTTGAATTTGATTCTCTTGGCAGCATAGACTAAATATTTTWAAATTGATTTGACCCTTATACTTCAACAAATAATTTTTACATAATAATTTGTTATCACTRACTTGTAATACAGCATGACATTTTTGCGCTTCATCTGACAATATATGTATTACAGAAAATGGACCACCTCGTGCTCCAAATAAATCTAAATCATTCATTGCTTCGAGCGCAGCTTTAGCCATTCCAATACTACTTGCATTTAATTCTGGAAGACCATGATTCGATTTATCACCTCGTTCCCATATACCATAATCCTGAAATAAAATGAAATATAGTAATATTTAAAGTTTTATTTGAAAAACTAACATTTACTAACCGGTATACAATATGCAGATTCAATATAAAATACTAAATTTTGAATAAAAGACACTTCATCCAAGTTAAATACAATTTGAAGACCTTAAAATATAATAATGAAAAATTCTTATAAGTTGACAGTGGAATTAATAATCAATAGGTTATTTTTTGATATTTTAAAATCCTTTGGTGGATTATTTCTAGTATTTATTCTCGTCGGTTGCATGCCAATATTGTTTTTTAATTATTTTTATATGTAATATTACATATTTATGCATTTAAATCACCAAAACACATTTGCTATGCAATTAGTGTTATTATAATAACTATAATAATTATAATTTATAATCACTTTAAAAATGCATATAATTTAATATTTATTGTATTATATTTCTGTACCATTTTATATAATTAAAAAATTAAGCTTTAATTTTGTAATCATTATTTATTAATGTCACAAGTAGAGTATTTCTCACACTATAAAGTACAAATCACTTTGATAGATAGAGTGATATAGACAATTTATAGTAAATTAAACAAKACATATACGATTATGTTTTTATTATATGTTACTGATAAGATATATGGAAGCTGAAAACAATAAAATTATTCAATAGGCAGTGGTAATCAAAATGTAARCAAAGTGAAAAAATATCACATGATGGAAATAATTTAAGTTTTGAAATTCCTATATATTTTATAAAATTAAAAATATAATACAAATTTCAATATACAAATATGAATAATATTCTTAACATAAAATTTTAGGGTGGTTATATTTCATTCAAATAACCAATTATTAAAGCCAACAACATAATGCTGGATTGTCTGTTTGCAAATATCCTATGTTGTTTGGTTCAAAGAAACAAAGCAAACAATCTAATGAAAATGTATGTACTTTTAAATAATCATTAAATATTAATAACAAAAAACTTTAATTTTTTTAATTGAATTTTCCACTTTGATTTTGTATTAAATACTAATCATCAGAAGGATTAAACTAGATGAGTATTTTTATTGGTTTGGTTAAACACTGAATGAATTACTTAATGTACATAAAAATTACCTGATGCTGTCATTTGTGCTAATATCAGTAAATATAATGAAATAGCATCAATTTGTAAATGTCCCCATTCGTTATCACCAACAACTGTTTGCCCGGTAACAGAACTGTATTTAGCATGTAAAGAATGTAACGGATTTTGGGAAACTTTAAATTGTTCTACTTTATCTTTTTGCTGCATCATTGCCATTAGTAATCCACGCATTAATTTCACACAACTCTGCAAAAAAAAAAWAWATATATAAATTATAATCTAAGCTGAGCTTAACTAAGCTGTGTATGAACAAWGTACATATCAATATTGATTAAAAAAATATATGTACATTGAACACAATAAATTGTTCAATAAGACGTAATTATTAGGGTTAATAGGAACCTGCTTTTCAAATTTTAAATAA